ATAGTTATGCATCCCTGTTCTAAGTTATTTTAAACCTTATTATGGAATTCATTTATCTCACACACAGCTTGCCACTCTGCCTAACTCCCGGTTCCCCACTGCTACCTGCTCCCCCTGCACTCACACCACACCACCTCCCCTACAAATGGAGAAGGCATTTTTTAAAATATTTTTTTATAAGTATACTATAGTCTTAACGTTTTCCCTCTTTTTGCTGTAGAGATTATGACTCATGGTGGCCTCCTCCCTCCCCACCGTTTATCAGGTGCATACCTCCATTGGGTTTTTTTCTTTCCTGTTATAAATCTCTATTGTGATTTAGGTGAAAGTTTACAGAGCAAATTGGCTTTCCATTCAACAATCCAGATACATTTTCTTTTGTATTTTGTATTTGTATTTTGACTGCAATCTTCCCACTTCCTCCTTCTTTCTGATCCCTCTGCCTTCTGAGCTTTATCCGGAGGCAAACATCGCAACGTTGACTGTACAGTGAATGCGTGCCTCCCTGGCACCACTGTCCGCTCTCCAGGCCTGTACATCCTGTGACTGAAAAGTTAAGCCCAGGGTGAGTTCACCTCAAGGTCTGAAGGGTGTCCAAAAGCCAGTGCTGACTAATTTTAAAAGGCGATTTGCGCTGATACCAACAGCTCAAGTAGAACGAAAATGTTTGGAAAATGATGATGGCAACATATACACAAATGTGCTTGATACAACTGGTGTATGCATTGTATGAAAGAGCTGTAAGAACTCCCAATACAATGATTTTTTTAAAGGATAGTAAGCCATAAAAAATTATGATTAATTTTGTCCCTATATTCAAGAAAAATTATTCTTTAAGATCTGAAAGATTACAAAATAATTTTGAGAAAAAATCCTCTTAAAATCCTTCCTTCTAAGTTAAAATGCAACCAAAGGCTGAAAATTAGGAATTATACAAAAGTTTAAATGCTCTGATGAGTCCTCACAAATAGGTTTTTAAAAGAGTTTGTGGAAAAAAATTCATTATAGTTTGTTTTTCAACAAGCAACAGGAATATTTATTTACCAAATGCATTTGAGAAATGAATGAAACTGCAGAAAATAGTTGTGCCATCAGAATTTACTGTACTGAGAAAAGAAGTAAGAGCCAGTGGTGCTTCTCAACTAGTCTTGGCCACATGAATGAAGGGACTTCCAAAAGTTCATGGAAAAATGGATGCAACACTGAAGTGAATGACGTCTATGCTCCTGGTGAAAACGGAAAGTGCAGAGACGGCCAGAGAATGAAGTCTTCATGGTTCCTGAAGTCGTTACTTGCTAGGAGACAGTACTACAAAAGCCGTATTCTAATTTAAGTACAAAAATATTTTTATTTTTGCCATTGCTTTTGTCATATACAGATGGGGAACTATCTATCCAATAAGGTTCTAATATCCAAAGTACATTATAAAACTGCTACAACTCAAAAACAAAAAGACAAACATTGTAGTCAAAAGGACATGAGCAGACACTTTACCAAAGAGGCTATGTAAGCGTCCAGTAGACATGTAAAAGATGCTCACTCTTATGAGTCATCGGAGTTACGTAAGCCAAAACTATACTGAGATACTACCTCACTCCTACTAAAATGACTAACACAGAAAACACACATGTTGGCAAGGATATGGGGAAATCAAATGGAAATCTTCATCAATTACTGATGGGGATATCAAACGGTATGGTCACTGTGGAACATCTGGTGATTTCTCAGAAAACTAACAACAGAGCTACCCTATGAGCAGCATCCATTCAAGGTATGTGTACTAACTCAGAGAGACCCACTGCCATGGGGAAGATTTCCACTCACTCAACTCAGTGACTTTACAGGACAGAGAACTGCCCCAGGAGGTTTCTAAATCTCAGTCTGTCAGGAAGCAGACTGTCGCAGCTTTCTTTCACTGAGCAGCTCGTGGTTCAAACCCTGACCTTCTGGTCAGCAATCTAGCATTTTAACCATTATACCACCAGGGCTAAAAATGGCGACACAGACATATGCATGCCTGTGTTCACTGCAGCAGTATGCACAATAACAAAAAGGTAAGTGCCCATCAACAGGTGAAGGGATAAGAAAATATGGTACAAACATACAATGAACTACTACCTAGCCACAAAGAGAAATGAAATCTTGCTACATGGTGTGACATGGAAGAATATCAAAGTCATCGTGCTAGGTGAAATCAATCAATCAATAAAAGGCAAATCTATGATGATCTCACAACCAAATGCTAAGAATTGGTAAATATAAAGACCAATGGTTATTAGTAGTAACCAAGGGCAGTAACGAGTGGGTACAGTGAAGGGAAAACTGACATTAATAAAGGACAATGATTATACAATTTACAGATATAGATAATACCACTAAGTAGGTATACCGGGAAAAGTGTTAAAATGTGTTACAGGTAATTTTTTTTTTT